CCATCGGTATCAACTTCTTCCGCCTCTCCATCTATCAGTGGATTCTTAATGATAAAGATAACTAGGGTACTTTTTAGGATGGGTGGTAAAAACGCCTTCATATAAACGAGAAATCGGCACGTCGTATAAATACAAGCTGATAATTAACATCAAAAGGTGACAGTAGCCAGTGATACGAAACTTTGCACGAGATACTCGCTAAGAAGTATAACGAGCCTACGTCGACCGCTGTGGTCAGATCTAATCCTTCAGATACCCACCTTGAAGTTGGGATTGAGTGAAACCACACCCTTCTCCCCTGGGGAAATAAATGAACAAGCTGGGACATGATCGCAAAGAAAACGTTCCGAGGGCGAACAGTAAGCAGAGATACAAATTGAAAGGTGCTGATGCGACTGGTCGCAGTTTCCACCAAAAAGTGATCAAGACCCTTGAGGACCTTCCTGAGACCATTCTTCAAAGAGAAGAAAACATCTCGAAGGCCGCCATCCTAGCACCAGCAGTCATAGGAGCTAGCGGCAGTCAAAGATGGAGGTGGAGCAGATTTAGGACTGACGCCATCGAGAAATATTATAAAGAAGGGAAACGACACCGAAATTTGTGAGTACAAACGCAAAAACTTCACGGAACGTATAAAATCCGGAAATATTGAAGGGATGTTCTTCCTTGACTCCTCTGCTCTTCTTCAAAAGCCTCCATCTGAAAACAAAAGGCAAAACGACGCACTTGCTGTTCTTCTTCTTCGTCTTCGTAGTCCGTAATGTATTCCACATCACTTCCATCGTCATCATCCAAGCTGTGCCTTTCTTCTTCGGATGAAATAGAAATCATACGAGATTTCTGAAAAATTGGTGCAGAATTGGTCAAAGAACTCACAGAAAAATGGAAGCTTGTTCGTTAAAGAGCAAATAGCAAATAGCAAATAGCAAATACTTTGATCATCAAAAATATTGGAGAGAAACAAAAAAATTTTGTAGGCAATGGTGATTGCTTAACTTTCTTCTATACCCACCCTTTTATTTAACACTCCCCTTAATTTTCTTCCATGAATGAAATCATCAGTTGTCGCACGATGGACAGGAAAACCGGTGAGACCTTACGATTAATGATTAGCAATCTTGGCAAATCCGCATGAATAATTACAGAAGCTGTGCGCTTCATCAAATAAAGAGAAGTCAAATAAAGAGGTACCGATAGTCTATGCATTTCACGTGTGACTCGTAAGCTTTATGAACTTCCATACAGTTGTCAAAACTAAGCTTCCGAAGTGGAGTCGGAGCCATCCGTGGGGATGAAGCGGGATGGAACGTAGTTCCTTCGCTCACCAGGAGATTTGGAGATCCATCACCCATTCGAATGTCCCCACTACTCCGAACGGCAGTCCGATCTATGGCGCATCTCATGAATCCCGCGCGAAATTATGCTCTCGACTGCGAGCCATTTCAGGAATTGGTTCTTTGGAATGGCTGAGGAGTAACTTTAATTAATCTGGTAAATTCGTTCAAACCTTTTTCACATATCTTTCATGTCGCCGATCCGTTTCGCTCTCCAATTGTTGATCGAGAAGATCTAATTCATCGTCCTCTTCCCCTGAGTCTACATCATCGCTCTCAACAACGAAAGGAGTCGTTCGAACAACTATCGCTGTCCTCCGCATCATCCTCCCTGCTCTCCATTTCGTCCTGTAAAAAACCTCAGTACGTTTCGCTTGTCACACCACCCACATAATGACATGTTCCTAAGCAATTTCTATCGCTTTCTACAGTTTGAACGAAGGAACACCCTGATTTAAAATACCCATCAAGGTTTAAAACTCATACCTCACTCTCCGCAACACCATACGATCCCAGCTCGACACCAGAATCCTGCAAATTACGAAATAATCATGCAGGTTCATACTGTTATTTTATGATAAAATCGGTACCAATCAATTATCACAGCCCAAAAATCTAAAAATTTCATTTCCATTGTCAAAACTTTGCCAGTGGGGGTAATGCGATGGTCTGAATACGGAGTTGACATTAATTTTTGGCACAGGCGTCATTTGGACTCTGTTGGCGTCACTTTGCTTCTGTCACTTTACAAAGTTAATTCCTCCAAACTCGGAGTACACTTCCGTTTAGACTTAGTTGGTGTCCCGATGACGCACACGATACTGGTTTCTGACATTAGCGCTTTTGACGCATATTTTCTGTCTCCTCGTTGTGCTCTCTCACCCATGTGCCTGAAGCTAAGCTTAGGAAGAAAGGGGGATTAGAGGTGCGTAAACCACGCACCGTGACCTGATGTCGAAGCGTGCGAGATCGCAAGGTGCATGGCTTACCCACCTCGGAACCCTCCTCTCCACAAATTAGTCGGAATCGTGGATCCATCTCTAAGGGGACGCGCCCTGAATTCTTTTCAAAGCACTGAAAAACTGCTAGTATTCGCCCACAATTTATTCAACAAACGCAGCGCAGATCTTTGAAATGTCTTTGGCCCGACAGCTTCAATCAAACTAAAAAGGTATAAAATAAAAAACCGATATAAAATACCTCAGGATAAGAAGGCTTGACGATGTATTCGGCACAATCAGAAACATGCGGAAGACTGTTTACTCCGAAGTCACACGTATCTCGCATATCCGCATTCAGCTGCTACTCGAGCTATAGCTAATCTCCAGCTGTGTTTCCACAAATCTGACATAAAACCCTCGCGATAATTTTGTGAAATTTGAAAAAATGGTAGCACCTCCATATTCCTTAACGAGAATCAGCATCATTTCCACGCTGAGCTGGAGAGAAACGAGACGAGGGCAGGATGAAGCAACGTGACGAATGAGATCAATGAGACGATCTCGCTGCTCTGACAAAGGCATGGCTATTATGCTTAGCCGCCGAACATCTGAGAGATGGTCAGCAACGTGATTCAGCAGCTGTTCAGCGCATCGAATTCCCCACACCTATAAAGAAGAACACGTTGTAAATAAGATTGATGGAAATATCTCATTACAGTCTGTTTTTACAAACAGAATATTGTGGCTTTGTTAACTAAAGAAGGAGGTATTTAG